TCTAGTTCGACGCAACAAGATTCTTTGAACTAGTGAATCTCTCTTAATCCCCACTGAATTGGAAGACAAGGAATTTCCCGTAACACTTGAAATCCAAGATTCTTGATCTGCTATTCGCGTCGCAGAAATCCTCGCGAGACGCAAGTTTCTCGTTCAAATCCTCTTGGCGATCCCAAAATTACGATGTTATTTCATTTTTTTTTCCGGAATTGCCTTTCGGGCCAAACTTTGAGCATCCCCGCCTCATACCTTTCAATACCGTGGACTCGGCTTCCTTCATCCTTTCTCCATGCTCTTTCTCTCTCCCTCCAGCTGGATATTCTACAGCGAATACTTCTACAACTACCAGAACGTAGGGACTGTGGAATGGGTGCACGGGGGCGACTACCGATTGAACTTGAAGACCGTCGGGAACCAAGCCTCCTCTCTCAGGTGAGTTCAAGTCCCGAGATTTTTTGAACTGGGAGGACTTGCTTTCCTCGGGTGTGCGTTAATGTACGAGTACAACAGTAAAAAATTTTCAGTTAAGGCACCAGAAATTATTAGTACGAATAAGAATTTTCCATGTTTACATAATGGATGAGAGCGTCATCGACGCTCTCATCCTAAATCCCATGTTTCCCAAATTGTTGGTTTGAAGAATTCATTTTGTTTGTATGATTTCAGACAATAAATTGTTATATATGTGCTCTTAAAAGATTATACCTGTGTTTGTCTGAACTCCAACAAATGGAGTAGGAAGGACGGAGTAGGAAGGACTCTGCCTATAAAATGGATCCATCATTCTGGAATAGTCTTACCGACGAAAAAAATAAGAGAGTAATCCCCAACATTAAAATATCGACCAAAGGGAATGCCTGCCATTTGGCACCAATTACCTTTGGCCTGGAGCATGCGCACTGCCATGACCTGGACCGAAGGGAATGCCTGCCACTTGGCACCTATTCTCTTCGGTCAGGAGCATGCGCACTGGCATGCTCCAGATCGAAAGAAATAGATACCAAATGGCACAGATTCCCATTGGTCTATTGGATACTCGTCCCTATTATTAGAACAGGTTGGATTTTGGGTCAAATGAAAAAACTTTCAAGCTGGTCGCCCCCAAGCACATTGACACTGTCATTCTCAAGTATTAATAGTATCTATGGGATTAATGAGTAATTTCCCTCTTTTCCAAGCGGACGAAGGAAAGAAGAAGAAGATATGAAGAATAGAAGAAGAAGAAGAGGCATAGAGATATAGAAGGCATGGAGATGATATCCATGACAATTCACATGGACCAAATCATGTTTTTGGCAGGAAGGTAGGACAAAAGTCTGAGTCGGCCAAATAAGAATCAAACAGGTACCATATGCCTAATTGAAATATTAAAACCCTAATTGAAACTTGTTCGAGATATTTGAATTTACAGACTATACAATAAGTCTTCCCTGAGTTGGTTTAGCTCGTCATTCATCCCTTTACCAAAAAAATTTCCTCTTAGGCAAAATTGGGACAGCAAAATTGAGGTAAAAAACCGGTTTTTCTCCGTCTCTCAACCTGTTAGAAGGCTCTTCAAGTAAAGAAAAGGGGGAAAAGTGGTATAATCCGGAAGAACGAGAGGGGTTACGTTTTGTATGGGATGTTATTATTTTATTGTTCAAGTCATGGCTTTCAAAATAGTCATGGCTTCTATTGCAAACTTCCATGGTTTCAAGTTCAAGTTTGGAGCTGACTTTTCATGATGAAATCAATTCTCTCTTTTCGGCATTATAATGAAGAGTTGTCATTGATGCAATTCAGTTTATAAATTTATCAAGAGCCAACATCATGATTTATGCTTTGCACGTTTGAAACGCTTGTCCAGAAAAATTCGAATAGCGAGAACTTTAGTCGTGCTGAGGTGTTGATGAGTCAGGATGACATTTACAATTTCAGGGAAATAGATGAAGAAGAAGCAAGGTGTTATTCTGATGAATGCGTCTGAAACAGAGGAAATATTTCCACCGTCACAAAGCGGCGAAAGTATTTGGCAATGGAAGGCTTGGAAATGGTCGATTTAGAGACTCGACCGAAGTGCCGAGATGACGCCGATCATGTCCCTCATCGTCACCGGTCAAAGTTCCTGGACCCTCTACGCGTGAGTTTCCGATTTTTGTGTTGATATCAATTCGAGAAGTGATCGTTCTGCCTAGAATCCGGTTGTTTCCGCCAGATCGAAGGACTTCAACGGAAATGGAATTTGCGTCGGGGTCCCGCCTGGAAAATACGCTGGCTTTGCTCCTGACCTGAATGCCTTCGACATCGACACTGTCAGGTCCTTCAGAAAAGGGTGTCTCACCAAAAGCACGATCGATCTCGACTCCGATCAGCATGGCGTCGTGTTGAAGGCGGCGGAGTAATAGTGTTCCTCTGAAATAAATTCGTAGAGCCTCGCCCGTTGGCTTTGATAAAAAAAAAACCTCTTTGTGAATGATGCCTGCACCCGCTGAATCAAGGAAGATATACGAGAAAACGCGAGGTGTTTCGTCAGGTCATCACTATTTGACGGCATATCAATACTGGAAACAACTTTCAGGCTAGCGTAATTTGCTTAAGTTCGAGCCCCTCAGGAAATGCGCATAAATTCGAGATAGCACAGATTTCATAACCGTAATTCGATGCTATAAGCCAAAATATTGCCAATCACATCTTATCGCATTGTATAGTCAGTTCAGAGGGCTAATCCGGGGTCACTTGTCGTATGGGGCCCGGAGCACGGATGTACCCCTCATTTACCTTGAGCTGAGGTCGTGGAGCTCGAATGATTGGACGCTCGGTGCCATTCTTGCAACTTCGGCGGATAATGTTCCCGGATTTTTCCCAGCTTCCTCTGTGATTTTTTTTGTCTTAGTATGCTGCACACGCCTTTATTCCAGTACTGTGTAACAAAAATATGAGGTTACTATCTTCTTTTGTCCCATGGATCATGAACAATATGACACTCTCGAACTTAGGAACACAACCCTACCGTGTTCCTAATAGTGTTGACAAGGAATGTGTCAAAGTTCGAGCCACGGCAGTCGGAATTCAAGCACTAGTCTGGTAAACGGGGTCAGATTAATACCGTTAAATCATTACACAGCACTCTGGTCAGTCATGTGAACAGACACACATGGCATTGTTCCTGGGGGGGAGACGATGGATACGAGGTTGTCATCAGGAAGAGTCACGAATACCGATCATGATAGGCAGAAAATACCTATCATAAAAGGCCTCACGATGGATACCTATAATTTGTCCTTGCTTACGGAACTGAGCAAATAATAGAACTATCGCCTGATACCTATGATAGCTACCATGTGATCAAATGATAGGTTCTTGCATACGGGTCTATATCTCTATATCTTCCGTGTTCTCTTACGTATAAGGTGTGTCTAACCTGTGGGAGGACTTTCAGCCTTACATTCCAATGTGATTCCGCTCCTGGATGCCTCAGCATCTGGAAGGAATGATGTGTGGGATGTTCTTGGCGGTAGGAGTGTACTTGTTTTAGATACTCAGATAAGGTCCTGCTCCTTTATCTCTAACAAATGAAGAAGCAGTAAGAAGTCAGAAGATGCATAATGCTGTCGATGTAATTTTTTCATTTTTTTCCCCTCTACCTTTTCACCATTGTGAAAAGTCGGCCGATGGTTGGGGCATTTGCGATTTCCCAACAATGAGCCGAAGTTGGCCCAATGAAGGGCCAACACGACATGCCCGACTATAAGCCAGCTTAAACCAACCAATCTATACATGAGCGTCGACAAGAAGCCATTGATGGTCCCACGAAAAATTTTTGACTGAGTCCTAATGTGCCGTGGTAGTGTGAAAAATAAAGTTTTGACCAGGGGAACCAGAGTGACTTATTCACCAACATGAGTGTTGTATGGAATGTTACACTTCTTATTTTCTTCACTTGTTGCCATTGCTGAAAGTTTTGTAGTTTCCGTTTTCATAAGGAGATATGATGTTTTCTGCAATCATTTGAGGCCACGCCGACTTTAATTAGGCTGAAAGGAAAAAGGCAAAAGCTATTGTGAATAATTGCTTTCATTTCGCGAAATTTATGTCAGAGCTACAGAAATTTAGCCTGCTGCATGGAGGGTGACCCGGAAGAGATGGATGAGTAGTGGGAATATTAAAGCAATTAGCTGAACACTGTTGCACAATTCCTCTTCACTTTGCATAGTTCGAAATCAGAGGCATCGCCTAAAATCTGAGAAAAAAAGGCTTCAATATCTTGACTTACTCAGGCAGTCAATTCCATTGGAGTTGATCATGAGCTCTTTATGTCTTTGTTTCGATTAATTTTCAATTATATAATGATTTCAATTTTTTACATTCTGAGATGGATTCCACACCATTAAATTCAAACGCCCTGTCAAATCATCTGACCTGATCTTTCTGAACAACTCGCCTTGAATAGGTGTTGAATTTTCTCTTCATGATGAAATCTTCGCCGTGCAGCTGGTCATGGCAGACAGTTCATGGAAACATGTTATTGGGATAATAAATAATCTCATGAATCTCATCATCTCATCTAATTAAATCATCACCTCATAAAGCAAGTCATGTCATTCAAGTCATATTTGAGATTTATTATGCGAAGATTTCCCTTTAAGGAATGCCTATTCAACCAGATATGAATCAATTTATTAATATCACGAAAACATCAAGTCGTTACCATACGATGGAACTCTTCACCCACTCAGAGTTTCCCCTTCAGGTTCGGATTCATATTTGCACTTCATTCAAGTTGTAAAAAAGCAACATGCATAACCTGACTGGGACCATACACACATGGAGAATATATAGAGTATATGAAATACCGGGCAGAATATTTACTTGGCCACTGTTAAGGAATGCAAATGCGAAGTGTTAAAAACGTAAAAAAAATTGTTGAAGTGGAGTAATGAGCAGCTAATCGAAAAGAAGATAGTAACTAATTTCCTGGCATTTTTAGCCATCATTGCCACAGATAAGCATGACTAATGCTTTCACTGGCGTCCCATGATGACGATGACAATGGGGATGGGGCTGACGTCGTTGAAAAGGACAACAGCTCGATGTGATGGATGAGAGCTTGATTGAATGGAACTCAATGTGATGATTGCGTGCTTGATGGAGTGCAACTGAATATGATGGATGATGATTAGACTCAGTTGCTCATGAGTGGAAGGTGATGACAGAGGTCTGATTCCCTCTGACTGCGAGGAATGGAGGCATGCCCTTAGTCAGGGTATCCAACCAGGCCATGTACAGTGGGGCCGAAACCATCCCCTTTCGCGGCATTGGTAGAGTCCTGCAGAATGCAAGCAAAATTCAGGTGTAATGCTAAAATACTTCGATTAGGAATAGAAACTCAAGGTTTAATGGTGTGTCATCACTAGATGGAGACAAAGTCTGGGCAATCAGTAGTTTAAAATGTTACATTTCAAATTGTTCACGTGTCTTATATTTTATGCATGCACCTACCCACATACGTTTATATCTCATCTTTCTTCAGTGCTAAAGAAATTCTCAGAATATTAAAAAACATTCAGGGAATGTTTTTGAATTTGAATGAGTTTGAATTTTTCCCAACTATAGAATTTAGAAGCAATAATTGCATAACTCAACGGGCGAATTAATTATACTTTTTTTTAGAATAACCAACTGAACCTGATTCAAGCGGAGATTTGTAGATACATGTATATAAACTGCATATTTATTTACTTTATGGTTGAGAGATTTTGAGAACTGTTTGACATATTCCCAATGTTCGTTCCATAGACTGATTCGAACATTTCAGTGAACAAGCTAAGCCCTTAAATGCGAATTGCGACGAGGAGAATGTTGGTCGAAAACCTATTTGTCCCTGAAACAGTTTTCTCTTCCTAGTTATCCTAAAGTAGATCAAAGTCATCGCCTGGAAACATAGCCACTATAGTGGTAATAGCGATAGATTATCGCTATCAATATCCTGTCGAACCTAGTGCCTTCGGTCTTTCTCTAATTCATTTGAATTCCTGCAGAGATTATGCGCTCATACGTGATTAGTGCCACATTTAGCGAATCTAAAGTTCTTTCTTTAGCGAGGGCAACAAACGACTGACCCCTCATGCACTTTGGCGCTTTAATGGATTTCTACAATCTCCACAGTTGACCCTTGTATTGTTAACACGTTGGCGACAATGCGTCCTGATGGCAGGATGCAGGTTCCAAAAAAAATTCCAAAACATTCAACTTAAAAAAAAACTCGGAAAAAACTTTTCTGGGACCATGCGTCCTGATGGCAGGACGCATTTTTTGACAAAAAAATGCGCGTGGTCCCACGCTGCGGACAAGCAAAAATAGGCTGGTCGTCAACGTGTTAATGGTAGAGTAAATGGAAACCCTATTCTCGACCTTACTAGTCCACCTTAGTACCAATCAAGGTTGATCGACTCCCTAATCCACTCGCATTCTCATCGAATTTTGGGATTCTGCTGGACGCTTCTCCTTCATGGCTTTCCTTGCTAGCTCCCTCTTTTCTTGTCTTTTGGTTGGACATTACGAATCTAAAAACGAAACCAAGCACAAGATTTCGCCACCATGTACGAGTTAAGTCAGCAGGGGACATTTTCTAATATTTATGCCGCGGACACCCAACGTATATATTTTGGTTTGAATTCCATTCATTCTGAGATTGGAAACTTGTGCTTGGGGCTAGTGAAAGATTTTTTCACCTTTCGACAGGAGAATATAGTACCTTTCGTGATGAAAAATTTCAATGCAATAACTTCTATATTGGAATTTCGGTGAATTTATATATCCCGCTAGTCAGAATTGCGGGGGTAAAATTATTGCTCGGTGGTGTTTAACCGTACTCTGTATTTGCACGGCGCCAGGCAGGGCACAGATCTTGCATCATATTCCCTCGCAATGCTATGGCCTAACGACGTGAGAGTTGCCTTCTCCAAAGATGAGTAAAGAAGTCTAAACTCGCCTTTGATAGGTTGATAATCTGACGGTATTGCAAGGGGGACCTGTCTGGAGTCAGCCAGGGCCCCCCCCCCCCCCCCCCCCACATCCCATGGGCGATGATCACTTACTTCCTTTTACTATAATTTTACTATAATTTCAAATATATATATATATATATATTTGCATATATTTGTTTTCATTAGAAAAAGTTTCACATGTTTGATGGGAATTTTGGACCCCCACTGTGTCTGCCCCCCGCAACTGCTGGGGCTGCTTGGGTGGTTGCTATAGCACTGGTCAACATTGACGTGACAACCAGATTTTTAGCCGAGCAAGCGCGCACATGGGTTGTGATGTGTTGAATCAGCCCAGGTTTTCCCAACGGAAATTCTTAACTTCTCCATCTACTCACGCATTGCCTAGAATCTATATAGGGTGATTTCATCGTGACTAACATAACAATCGGACGCAGAGTACAATTACATCTACTCAGTTTTCTCGGTCAGTTTTCTCCCTCCAAAAGAATAGTTTTCCTTCATAGAGAGTCCATCTTGCGCTTGCTATGCAGCACTTCAGCACACGTAAACAATGCAAATTCCTGCCAGTGGAATTGCACGAAGCATGTGCGACTGACATAACCATAAAAGGACAAGTCGATTCCTACATCAAATGTTCCTCATGAATGTTCTGAATATAGAATTCTTCATACTACCCCATATTCGTCATGTACCTTCTCCAAGTTATGATCTACCAATCTAATATATATGGACGATCTTGACAGACTGATTCACTGAAGCTAATTCTAACCATGTTCTAGAAAGGTTAGAAATTTGAAACTTGGTACATATGTACCTGTTGCGATGCAAACTTCAGAAAAAATCCGACTTTGGAGGTACATCCCCTTAGGGGTACACATTTTTGGGGGAAAAGTTTTTCTTAAATAATATTTTGTGACGGATGAGGATGGCATTCAGAGGGTCATTCAGAGCTGGATGTACTGGGTTCAGTGGTGCAGTGGTAGCACATGTATCCGGCAATCAGGAGGACCAGGTTCAATTCCCTGCCATTCCTTTGCTCTATTTTGGCTTATTTTGCCTTCCATGTCCCGTTACTCATTCCCCCTTCATAATATTATTTTTGCTTGAGTAAAACGGAGAGACATGGAAAGCTGAACCCTGGCATGGATGTGTCTACCGAGACGATGAGTTCAAGAAAAATGCAAACATTTTAGATTCATGCCCTGGGGGGATATTTTTTGGGGCCGATGTTTTCAAGTATTTTTTGTCCTGGTGTATTGAACTAGTATGGAAAGATGAAACTTGGTGCATAACTATCTATTGGGATGTTGCAGAAAAATTCAGACTTTGGAAGTAAATGCCCTGGTGGCACAAATTTCAAAGGGAGATGTTTTCAAATCATTTCTGCATCAATTAAACTGATGAACATGGAAAGCTGAAACTTTGCATGAATGTGACTACTGAGACAAAGAGTTAAAGAAAAATGTTAAGGCTCGATTCATCCCCTGTGGGAATTTTTTCGAGGGTCCATGTTAAAAAAAAACCATTGTCGTGGCGAATTGGACAGAAACGGTTAAGGCTCGATTCATCCCCTGTGGGAATTTTTTCGAGGGTCCATGTTAAAAAAAACCATTGTCGTGGCGAATTGGACAGAAAAGGAAAGGTGAAACTTGGCACACGTATAAGTGACATGATATTAATAAGTTGAGAGAGTATTCAGCTTTCATGGTGCATCCCCTCCGGCTATAGCTTTTGGGTGGGTCGGCTATTCCAAACATTTTTTCACCAGCGAAAAGGGTAAATGTATAATATTGAACTTTGTGGGCATGTAGTTCACAGAGGATGGATTTCGGTATTTAAAAAATTGTAATTTTCGGTTAAAACGACTCAGGGCACATATTTTGCAAAAGGAGTATTTTCACGAATTGTCTGATCCAGCAAAACAGAGGGCGTATGAAAGTTTACACTTGGCAAATAAGTACCTAATGGATAGCTAAGTAAAGGAAAAATTATACTTTTATTATATATGGAAGATCGTGAGTAGCTGACTGACTGACATAATTAGCTATTCGCGTGCTGAGTTCAGGAAAAATTCTACTTTGGTGTTACATGCCATAGGGGCACACCTTTTCAGGGAATATATTTTCAAATAGTTATCTTTCCTTCAATCAAACGGAGACACATGGAAAGCTGAAACTTGCCAATAGCGTGACCGCTGACGCAGTGAGCTCAAATGTCAAATGTGAAATTTCTAAAATATTTTTGAGGTTTATATTTCTTGGGGACGTAACGTTTTTAAATAATTTTTCATATCCTACAGAATCGGGCAGAAATAGAAAAGTAGCAGCTGCCGAACGCATAACGGATGTGATGTTGATTTAAGGAAAAATTCAACCTTTGTTGGGCGTCTCCGCACAGCACGGCTTTAGGGTGGGTCGCTTTTCGAAATACATTTTTTATCGCCAGCAAAAAGGGGAAACTCATAAGGCTGATACGGGATGGCATGGAGTTCCCTGAGTCTACATTTCAAAACAAAAAAAATATCGTTAAAACCCATCAGGGCACTTTTTTCAGTCCCATTTTCCTGAATTTTTTTTTATCCAAAGAAACATAAACAGAAAATTTAAACTTCCCTCAGAAGTACCTGTTTTAATGGCTGAGTACAAGAAAAATCCTACTTTTGACATATGTCTCATTAGCGTAGATTATAGGACACAAGAAAAGTATTCAAGTTAGGCACACTGGGAATCACAGAAGTAATGATTTTGATAAAAATTAAGACTTTCGTCGCCATAAGTCACGTATTTCAATGGGGACATGCTTTAAATACGTGCTTGTCATTTCGTAAAGAATAAATTAATTAATCACTCTGCAAGGTAATGGAGCGCCGAAGGCGGGACTATAGCGAGATTGTTTACCCGAAAGGCAAACGAACTCGCTAGTATGCAATAAAGTTTACGTGTACAAGATGTCTTTTTATGAAAAAGCCAACGTTGAATCAATCTGGTCGCTGTGACTAACATAACTGTGACTAACATAACTCCAATATTTTTTTATTGCTGCATTGCTTTCCCTTTAGAACGTTTGGTCCTAAATAGAGATTGCCACGTCAATGTTCGAAGATCTCGAAATACCGATCTATGAACGTGCTATCAAGAAAAATTATTCGAGTACCTACTCAGATTTACTACGGTATCCTTACCAGGAACGCGTAGCATACAGCATCCTTTTTACAATATCTCATTTTTCTTGTCTCATTGTTAAATGTTTCCCTGTGCCTTGCAAAAAAGGCTCTATCCTTCCGCTTTCAAAACGCAATGCCTTTATAACTTCCTCAGAAGTAATTCGATCTTCATTACCATCCGAAAGAAACTTTACTAAGTAATTTAGGACTCGTACACGTAACAGGATTTCCAATGATATCATATTTGCCTTTTGCTGAAATTTTTTTTAATTGCGTGAAAATTATTAGCGTGTACTCGCTAACCTTTAAGTGCTTTGCATTTAAAGGCTGGCGCCACGTCAGGAAAATGCCTAATAAGTTTTCTCAATATAAAGTATAGCTTTTGAGAGGGGAAAATTGGCTGATTCCCCTGTGTATATCTTCCCATCTTCAAAAACATGAGAGAACTTCTTAGGTTCACGCAGCATCAAAGGGACTGTGTGATTAAAATACTCCAAGAGGGTGTAACACAGCAGAAAGTTACATCCTCTTTGACCCTCTTGGAACGAGCTGTCAGGACACTTGACCATGAGGGATGTAGTGATCCTGAAAGTCGTGTTTTGCCAGTTATGATGAAATTATGATTAAATCCGGTGTAGGTCACACGAGAACACCTGAAACGCCGCGGGAATTCTTGTTGCGTTACACCCTCAATTTGGAGGAATCATTTCAATTACTCGTTGCTCGTAACCGGAATTTTGCGCAGGCTTTCTTTCATTTCTAATGTTTTTCAGAGACGGTAAGACATGCATAGTGCTATCAACTCGTATTTCATCAAGGGAAATCTGAAATTTACATATGGCATGGAGAAAATCATCATAGCATACTTCTGACGTGGCATATGCACAGCACTCAAGGCTGGCGAGTACGTGGCTGATAATTTTCAGGCAGTGATTTACTTGTTCAGCGAAAGACTGGTACAATGGAAACCAATGCCCTATATATACGTAACGATACAATATGGGCGCTAATAAGGATTCTTTTTTTCTTGGCTTCTTTGGGCTCTACTTTCTCTTTCCCTCCAGCTGCTTTCTTTACTATGATTTACTTTGACTTACATTAATATATTGGAGATGCATGTACTTTGCCACAATACCTTTACCTGACGATGGGTATGCATAGAACTAGAAATTTATTGAATGGTTATGTTAGTCGCAAAATAAAATGTTATGTCAGTGACCCTTTCCGACCCTAGACAGCGTCCTATCAAGAAGGCGAAATATCCATGATAAGGAGTAGGACCTGGGGTAAGAGAAAATGTTCAGTTAGTGGATATATCCCCATCGGTGATGGCATAAATGGAAAGTTGTTAGTTTTTTGTGACTAACATAACATATTACCATTAGTCCACCTTAGGGCTGGCCTATTCAAATACATGAAAGAGAAAGTATGAATCTGTGATTAATTATATCTGAAGGTGATTTAGTTCATGATTACATCGTTTTACATTTAGATATGATATTTCTCATGGTTTAGACACAATGTGAACTTTTAAAACGTATGTAATTATATACTCACATAACAATTAGTGAAGCGTCGATGGAATGATAAAGGAGGAGTTCCCTTAGCTTCACATGGCGACTGTTCTTGTTTTGGGTTGCCATCAGTTCTGCGTCTGGGATATATGTTCCTGTCATGCATGAAGAAAAGTTATGAAATTCTCAAGGCAATAAAAATTTTATCTACAAGATTTGTTCGCCTGTTCCTACCAGGTTCCCTGGTTTCGCCTGACTTCTCTTTGAATGGTTCGATAAGAGCATCGAATTCCTGGTAAAGCTCAGGTGCGGCCTTTTTCTTGAAATCGGAGATGATGACAACATCGCTGTAATCGATACGGAACTTGCTCAACAGCGCTGCCATACTGGAAAGAAGAGGAGACCGTATCCATTGAATATATAGATACAGTGAATTAAAAGCAGGCGGTAAGAAAATAGTGACCTTCTTTGTTCCTTTTCGAGTTCATTGGAGGACGCCAGACAGAAGATACGGAGAGAAGCGGAGGAGAACTGGGACCTCTGTGTCAGGATGTAAGGGAGGAGAATCGTGAGCCCGCCGTCGTCGTACAGCCACCAGACGTCAATCCGGGCATCTTTCTTTTGCTTCTGCTGGAACTGAGTCAGGTTATTGATGACTGTCTTCGGCAGGGCTGCCCCGTCTGGTCGTCGGTATATTTGCGACGGTTGCTTCTGCTTTGCCTTGTTCTTCGTCTCCTTTTCCTTCTTCTGAGTCTTATTCTCCGTTTCGTTGGTTGACGGATTATCTCCAGAGGTCACGGAAGCGGACGATGAGTTGGACTCTTCTCCCATTTCTCCTGAACATAACGGTTCTTTTCCTATTATTCCTCAAGAAGAATCGCTTACTTCCGAACACTTCGTATCACATGGGAACTCAAAGGGATAAAAGTTACTCGTGTCATCATGTTGCCTTCAAAAAATCATGAAACGGCTTCCTACTTGAGCCAAACTTTCGAGCGCGGGCTGCGAGCCTCGGGAGTCGTATTATGGAGAATAAGAAAATAGTTTTTTGGTCGTTTTCCGGCTAAGACTTAAATCCGGCCGCTTAGTTCAAATTCTAACAAATTCGGGATATGCAATACCTAGATGGAAAGACAGACATATTTATAAGTATAGTGCATAATTATATGCATCTGCATATGTAGATGTGAACACTAATATTACATCACTTTTAACCTCTCATTTCTTCAATTCAGGTAATGAAATGCGAACATGTTTACATCATATGATGTATGTATATCGATCCATTATTAATTCAGGTAATATTTAATAATGAAAAGGTCATTCCGAAGAACATGTGCCTGTTGCTATTCGATTATAATTGTGGGCAGTCACTTTGATAAGCTGTGCATGTCTTGTCATGAATATAAAATGAGGAAATAATTATATATGTAAAGAAAAATATATTGTACCCATGTATGATGCTTTTGGAAAACATCAGATCATAAATAAATCAAATTAGCACCTGAGTTTGAAATGAATATCAATTTCAATTTTTAAAATCTGAATTACTTTTACTTCCCAAAGCCTAATAATAATCCTAAGCCAATGCCAAAACAAAAAGCAATACTAATAGGAAGGAATATATTATTCACGACTTGAACATGTGGCACATGTGTATTGGAAATGACATACTATACGGACATACGTGCAAAATGTTATGGATGATTTTCGAGCAATGTGGTGCGAAAGTAAAAGAAAGTCTGAAAATCAAAAGTGACGCAAATATTTCGACATGTGACATGTAGCATGCAAGGTTTTGCAGCATTCAAATCAGTCGCTAGGCAACACGGTATCAAGTTAAATGGTACCTCTTACCCGCGAATATACCAGGTCTGGCAATAAAGTTCCAGGACTGATTTTTTTGTGGGTCTGTCAATATCACAAAAATTATTATCATTCCATGGACTATTAGATTAGACTGTTGGGCAGTGTTGCGTCAGCCCTCATCTGACTAGCATCTCGAATGAGAGTTTGACTAGCAGTGTAGCAGCTCTGTGTAAGGCGTCTGTCATATTCCCAGAGTGAAACAATGCTTCATCACATTTTATCTCAATCCGAGAATATAGCTCCAGCGATCCAATCAAATGTTGCAAGAAGTGTCTTGACAAGTTGTCTCGTCATACTCCAAGAATCTTGAATAGTTTTCAAGGCTTTCAGCCAGTAGAAATGACATTGAAAATAATGACAGATTCAGCCATCCCTTGGGTGAATGGTTGGGGTTGAGGTGGATCTGAATGTCTTCACTACTTGCTAAAGCCCTTGAAGGTCATTCAAAATTATTGGAGCATGACAAAGAACTTTTGAAGACACTTCAGCAACGTTTCATGGATTACTATAGCTGTATTGATCGGTTTGAGACAAAACGTAATGATGCATTGCTTCATTCTGGGAATATGACAGACGCCTTACACACTGAGCTGCTACATTGCCAGCCAAACTCTCATTCAAGGTGCTAGTCAAATGAGGGCTGGCACAACACTGCCCAAAAGTCTAATCTATCAGTCCATGGAATGATAATAATTTGTTGATATGGACAAACTCACAAAAAAATTAGCCCTGGAACTTTATTGCCAGACCTCGTATTTCAGAAAGTGAAGGATGGAAAAGGACAGAAACTGAAGAGAAAGCTTCTTTTCATCAGCTAGAATTGTACATGCCGAAGTTCTGGAAGCATGTTTTACAGAACTACAAAACGAGACATATTTGAAGGAGAACGTGGAAATAATATGATCAGCCAGAGACCAATCAAACCTAAATAGTGCTTGAGGCATTTCTCTCCTTCAAGCAATGGAGTGTTTTTAGAGAGCCTCCTTTCCTTTCCTGAAAGGAAAGAGACCACTTATGGTCCCGTCCTGTCCGTCCGTGTGTCCGTGTGCCAGGCTTTGGTTGTCTGATGATAACTAAGAAAACATTGGCCTGACCGATGCGAAAATTGGGTTAAGAAGTAGATATTACCAAGATTCAGGCTGAGGTCGCTTTGCGGCGAATTGTCCCTAAAATAGGCTTTTTCAGTGCAAATTTTGGAATTGAAATTTGGTCATGAAGGGAAGGTATGAATACTCGTGCGCCCTTCACGATCTCGATCACGATGCGAATGCGCTTATGATCCAGGTCTAGGGCGTGGTGCCTTCTCAGCAACCAGAGCTGTCGATTCCCTACCAACCTTCTTGGCGGACGGCGCACAACCCTCCCTCCTCCCATCATCATTTTGCGGGGATCATGGGTAGATTTTCAAACGTAACTGAAAAATTATACTTTTGTTGGCCGAGGACCGGAAAGAGATGGTATTTTGTTCAATTAGGTGACAAAATGCGGGTCTCCTTAACCCTTGCCCACTTTGATTCTCTCGGAGAATTTTTGAGGAGCGCACATAGCTCTCAGAAAATTGTATGGTATTCCTTGCTCATGCATTCACTTGAAAATATTTTGGCATGCATCTAAACTGGAGAGAGAAGAGAATGTTTTCTAATAAAATTTAAGCATCCTGTTTATGAATCTAACAGTACAGAACAGTTTTCTTGGTCGATGTTTGAAGAAAAAAACTGTGGTCATCGTTTTTTTGTATATTGCTGGGTTCTGAAGATGGAGGGGTAAGTCTTTCGTGCATTTGTATGTAGGGAGATTTCCGCCCTTTAATATTGCTTCGATGTGAAAATGTTAACGAATAAGAGTGGACTGGATGAGTGGGAAATCTCATATATTAATGGGCAAGTGTCCGTTCGTATGAAAGGCTCTGCGTAGGGCGAGGGCTTCCATCCGGGGTTTTTCTACTTCATTTCAAAAATTCTCGCTCATTTTGACAGGGATCCCGCCTCAGACCTGACCGAAATTCTATCATTTGTGCCTCTCATAACTCGGCGTACGACAGTCGCAAGGATAAATTGAGAAGAGCACCACCTCCCTCGTTCTCATCTCTGCACATCCTCCTGATGAATCCTTCTAGGAGTGACGCCGTACCTATGCATCCACCCATATATGATGGCCTCGATTATCATGCTGTATCGGCATGACATGCCACGGGGAGGAGGAAGGAAGTAGGAAGCCACGGGCTAGAAACGAATTCTGATTTACCTGGTGCTCATGGACCTTGCCTGGAGCAAGATGACCTGAGGATCGTGTTAGTTTTTGAATTTTTGTGAATGAAGTTATTATCGTACCGCTTAGTCTCTATCACATGGTTTTTGGAATTTAATTGCCTCTCGGAATAAAAGAATCGCGTAGCGACGCGAGCGCAGCTAGTATATATAAAATTCCAAGGACGAGTTGGATGCATGAGAGGACGAAAGAAAGGCAGTGGAAGACCGGGAATTGAACCTGGGCCTCCTGATTATCGATTAGGTAGACTACCAATACACCACCGAACGCGGGACATTCAATCGCACCTCTCAATGTCTTCTCTAGCACTGCACTGCTCCATCGATACATGACCCTTGCGCACGAAATAGAGTGAACAGAGCAAAGCTCAAGAACAAGATCCCAGCAAAGCAAGGGCATCAATGTATTGTCTTCTACACTCCTGCGTCATGAAGAGGAGGTATGCTATCAGCAAAGCTCAGGTAAGCCGCAAAATTGAAGCTTTCAAAGGAGGGAAAATACCATTTCCGAAACAATCCTATAGGAATTCAAATGTACATGCGAGGTATTTGAAACTATATAGTCGTATAGGAATCTCTTAGGACACTGGAAGAATTAAAGTGGATTCTAAAGGAATTTTTACAGAAATCCTATAGGATCCTTAAAGACCCCCATAGGGTTCTAATTGGATTAATCATTTTCTATTTTTTTTAAATTGCATGGGATACCTAAATACTTTCTCGGAGACGAAAAGAAACAGTTTTCCCTCACAGTCAATGTCAAAGGTCATGATAATGACGAGTCTAATCCACAAAATACCCTATCCAAAATGTGAGAAAGCATGTTTGCAGATTGAAGATCATATTTAATGTACAGAAAATATTTTTTTAATTCAAAATGTAATACCGCCAATGTAAGGATTTTAAATTGTACAGAGGGCCAAATTAATGTTTTTAACCACAATCCTATACATAATTTGACAAGGAGAGGGCACAGTTTCTCCCCCCCAAAAAAAGGAATTTAAAAACCTTCAGAATAAGCGTAAATAAGAGATGGCGAGAGAGAAGTTTGTAGTCAAGACGAGGATTTTAATTTCTTTTAGCTTTCTAGCAAGGGAATTATCAACGAACGACGGATATATACCATTCTATTCAATGCCATTGGTAGGAAAAAAAAAGTTCTACGGGAGCAAATAGGAGGAAATTTCCTTAGTGGCAGGGAACCTACTCACCAAGGGAGGTTTCAGTTTTGACGTTTTTCAATACTTTGTTTTCTACGTAGGACAATGGCTCCTCTTCCAAAACCTCACTGTAGTCCAGCCCCTCTTCAACTCTCAGGATCCCCACGGCCGTGTGGTTGTCAAACGCATCACTGCATACAAATGAGACAACTATATTGCTTCCTTAATAGTCATTATTTATCCTCAGTTTCATGCTATTCCCTTCATAAAATTGCAGTTTGTTATTTTGCAAATTCTCGCCGCCCTTTTCTGAAGGAGATCTTTCAGGGACAGAACCTGCTTGATAGAGCGAGCATGAGTTTCCAAATCCGTTGAACGTTACATTCAGTTTTGCTTTACAGATCTTTGTGAAAGAAAATCATTATTCTCATTTCGATGAGAGACAGCGAAAAAAGAACATACAAAGGATTTATATGCATTCAGGCGTTCATTCATTTCGCGAAAGATGGGACCTTTCTCAGAAAACCCAGTTTGACAATTGCCTACACCCAGCGCATATTATGCTTGTTCGCCAAGGATTACTGCAGAAGGCAATCGATCTGCGCCTCAAAAACGAATTGAGTTTCAATTCATATTGTTTGTCTGCTTTGCTTGTGAAAGTTGAAACACCTCTCACAATCTACAGCATGGTCATCCACTACTCCTTCCCAATCAGCACAGAGGGTTCAAAAATATCGGTAGTATTATTCCCACATGCATTGGGCATGAGTATCAACAGTTGGGCAGTCCTAAATATCTGACAAGTGATTGTGTCACCATCCACTGAACGGATTCCTCAGCGATCAATTCTTGGTCTACCTAGTTCAGACTCATATCACCTTGACATTTTCAGATTCATTGCGCTTCCATTGGCTCCAACCCTCGCAATCACACCGGCAGTTACACTGCATAATACAGTGATTCGGAATAGAATCTAAAGAAGGTTTAACACCTTTAAAGTGATTTCAAGGAAGCCTACTCCATAAAACATTGGAAATAGTTTTGAAAGCAATTCCAAAACCTTTCTTATTTGATTTTACGTCGAATGAAAACCACTTGGTAGCTATTGAACTCTTCAGGAAAGGGCTCGATAAGAGTTGTGCTGCCTGAAACTATTTCCAATTGTATTTACTTACTTTTTCTTCGTAGAAGAGACCGCTCGATCGTCATGGTTCATAGCCTTGATTTCATACCTTTTCCAATCACTGCAATTCTTCAGCCCTCAAAATCAAACAGGATCAGAGAAGAAAACGGTTCTGTTGAAGTCTTACTTTAGACCATCGAAGTTTTAGCTACTACATAGCACTATACTCCTAACCCCATGTCAATGAAGTAATAAACGGTATGTTGAGATCCATTGCAATCGACATGTGGAGGCGGGCTGGGTATAAATCGTTCACCTTACGGATGGCACTAATCGCCAACATCCAAACGTTCCCCACGTGAGCGTGGGGCCCCAGAAGGGATACTGCTTGGGCGCGTGTACGTGAGCCTGCACTTGTTTGCTCTAGGTTTCCACAAACGAGCTTATCCTTCGCTTTTGATTCATTTCCGTAACGAGATGAAACCTAAGTTGTTTCAGCTAAATCTTCTGTCTCTAATTTTGATGGTGTGGAGTGAAGTCATGATGATGGGGACTGACTGAATCACATTGAAGTACTGGAGCGTTTGGGATGGATCGCATGAGCCCCAGTCGGCCTTGAATCCAAGAAGAAGGATATTCGGACGGAGTTTCCCCAAGCCAGACAGCTGGAGCAAGGACTTCGCACCCAAGTCAAAACGATCACTCTCTGCGATGTCGTAGAAACTCTTGATGCCATGACGTTGGAGCCATGCGTAACCCTTGTGGATCAGGGAGGACCTTTCGGAGTGCCTCATACGACCCTAAAAACACCAAACACGTTATTCACTTTCCTTATTACCTGAAAAGGAGCCCTATCCAGTATATGGTTGAGTTGCACTGCCCTTTTTTCACCGAATATTTGGGAATGTACAACTCGTCTTTCCATCTTCGCGTAAGGGAAATTGGGGGACAATGGGATATTTTTTGGAAATGGTAAAAAAAAAATGCCTCTGCCACGTAGATTTTTAAAATCGAAGTCGTCCTTCCATTAGAGGAAAATGTCAAGGCATTCTTCATTCAAATTGATAGTTTTCTAAGGAATGGTGAAATCTCAAAGGCAAAGTGTTCCACGGTACCCCTACCCAGGGGTACGGGGGGACAGGTAGCAAGGTACTGTGTGACATTCCATGCTTTTTCATAAATAAACATTGGAAAATATTTTCAACTAGCAGAACCACGCTTAAATTGTGCGAAATCACTGAAGAGATTCGCAGATTTTACCACAAATACTTAATATCCTAAAGGTATATGGTCAAAAGAAAGGTGTTTTAACTCAACCATAGAATCGTAGCTATAGAAATTTCGTCTCTTGATTTTTAGTGAGGAACACGTGAAACTTTTATGAATTTTCGAAATTGACTCGAAAAAAGCACAGCATTTTCAGTTGAAAATATCTCGGAACACGACATTAAGTGTATATGTGCCATCGTTGCTTAGGTGTCGACCTCATCGGGGTCCAGGATCTATAATATTTTTGAGGTTTTGCAAGCGCCGCACTCTTGAAAAAGCTAAATACAACTGTTCATGGAAAGATACAGGTTCAGGAAGGTGCAACTGGGTTCAATGTATCTGATGACATATTGCATCTTCGATTTTTTCATTTCATACGCAGGCATTCTATTTGAATGGAGAGTCTCGCTCGCATGCTGAAGAAGTAAATTCATTTTAAATTATCATATTGTGAGCTATTGAGTCTTTGATGAGATGAATTGCCTATTCTTTAAAACATGGTAGTTCGAAGTTCGAACATGGAGTCTCACTTGAATGTTGTCGGATAGAACTCGATTGGGCTAGACATGGAAACTGGATGCTTGACGAGTTACTGCTTGTGCTTAAATATATTAGGAATACAAGTCGCCATAGGAACCGTGAATTACTTTCCACAAGTCAAGTTTTTTGCTTGCATTGGTTGAAAACGGGCTTATTTTTCATTTCACATAAAGGAAAATTGTGTAGAAGGTATTGAATTCGGTTCGGATCTAGTCAGATAACGTCCCTCAGTGATATATAATGCGACGTATCCATGTACTATATGTATTAATAGTTTTTTTTTTCAGGAACTCGTCAACACCATATCCAGTTCAACCTTTGTGCTCTCAGGAGTTTCATTTCGAATACGACTTTGGGTTCATTGGATTTACTTTTAAACTAAATCATATTTTCCTGAGCACTGACCTTGACAACGTGTCCGACGACTAGGAGAGAATAGGACTTGGTAATAAGATAGGCGAAGTCCAAAAGGGGAGGTCTCGAGCTAGGAGGACCAGCAAGAACGAGCAACTGCGGTCGGTAGTTTTTCACATGTTCTGCCGTCTTGTTGAGTTCGTGCGTGTTCTTCAGTGCCGTTGAGTATATTTGCGCTTGCGTACTCGAGCCCCAGTTCGCTTCTGTATACCAAGATCGTCAAAGAAAGAACGAAGAGGACGGAGGGACGGAGGATGGATGAAATGGGCGTACCGGGTTTGCGGTACTGCACAAGGAGGTAGAGGGATATGGTAACGCCTAGGGTGGCAAGGGCCACATCCCACTGAATCATGAACATGACCACGACGGAAATTATCGTCCCCAACAGGCTCAGCCAGGCATTGTAGTACTGGAAGGGAGATTCTGTCATATTAACTCTGTCAGATGAGCATCTTCTACCAAAATGGTTCTCTAAAGCTCAATGTTGGCAGTCTCGACGCGAAGATAATATTCATATATATTCTTAGCCGTGGATCAAAGTAATGGACGTGTCATAGATGAGCACAGATCTTCGGTATCAATTGCGAACAGAAATACTCATGTGTGTGCTTTCGTTTCGTCGGTGCTGGCGGACCGCGATGCATGAGAATAAGTGCAATACAAGCCCAATTATTACTATTATTTCGTCAATTTTTCCATTTAAACATTTCAGTAAAAAAAAATTAGGTCAGCATGTAATATTTCCATGTCAATATGAACGAATATGGCGGTTGAATCTTTCTCACTCAGAGCTACCTAACTAATCTTGGGCGCAAATAGGGAGCAGAAGAGAGACAGAAACATTTTCCCTTGTGTGACGTGGTCAGGAAATGTTGCCACAATTCTTACCTCCCAGAAAATGGGTATTGTCTATCCGGTCCAACTTTGCTACGCCGGGTTTGTCAACTTAGTGGTAGCTCATTAGTTTTGTGCTGTCATCCGCTTGTCGAAACGTCGGAAAGGGGTTTAAGGGCTTTCACTGGCTGATATAGGTGTTCCTGGCATCTTCTCTAGATTTTAAAATTATTCAGACGAGATGCCTTCCTCCTCCCACCCAGAAACTACACGTCACTGACTGGCGGCAGGGTCAAAGGGAAGGGGAAGGAAAGGAATAACATTAGCATGTGAGTCCCTATGCACCTCTACGGGATGTCAAGTAGGGAGAAATGGATGTCATGAACGTTTCGCAGAGAGACTATTTTCTTGAAATTTATATTTTCGGCCTTTTTATAGCTCATCGCAAGTTAGATTTATGAATGGCAATAAAGACAGGAAGAAACATACCGCAGAAGACGCAGATTTGTTTCATAATATGTCTAAGGAAGTAGAATGATTTATTTAACTTTGATGTATAAATAATATCAATTTACATTAAAATGTTTGCAAGAATATCTTGGGATCTTAATATCACTAAAAAATTTATTTTAAAGGTACATCTTCTTAACCCTTTCAATGCGTATGATCATTATAAGGATAATGTTTTTTGAGACTCCTCTTGCGGTTACCATTGAGCAAAACCTGTTTTATATGGTACCTGGCTTAATAGCTCTCGAAAAGGGTCCTTCGGTGATGCATCATTCGTTCTAATAGGTTGTAGTTCAGGGAAGCTGGATCAAAGAGAAAAGTTGTGACCCGATATGTCCGATTTTTTGTGAAATGGAATTTTGGACAAAAAAATTAAGAATATTTTTTCTTTCTTCTTTTGGGAAAGGGAAAAATATGCCCGTACGCTGCAAGAATAAACGGATGAAAATGGGACGAATGCCAAGATTTAGGGGCTCTCCATGGGTGAACAATGGCCAGTAATTTAATACTATCGGTTGATGATTCCTGTAATTAAAATTTTCAGTTTTTGAATATATTAATAAATATTTGAATTTTTCTGCGAGCTATCTTTAGCTAGGCCTGTTCAATAGAAAAAACGATGCAAAAATATCCTAGTTATCGTTTGGCTTAATTCAACCATGAATTTGTAAAGGAAACGCAAATCCAGGTTTTTTCTCTGGAACGGACAGACCGCGCCGTGCAAACATGCAGGATGAGGCATCACTATACTCGAGAAAGGGTTAAAGACTGAACTCGATTCAAAGACTGACCTTGAAGGATGGCCTCCAGCCAGGAGCTTTGGTGATAGAAGCATGGAAGACGGAGAAGTTAATGAGCGCATAAGCAGCCAGGAAGAAATTCACGACCAGCGCCGCCACTGCATTCAAATTCGCTGAAAAGTCATGGTATATGTTGGTATATGTGCCTTTTATCATCATCGTTATGAAAGGCTCCATGTTGTCTGCTTCGTTTGACTTTATTCAACGCCATTCAAAGGGTGGTAGAGTTCAATGAAACGAAAATATCTGCGAAGTCAAATGCTACACAGCAACGCACGTAGTATGTGGAATGAGCCCTTCCTTGGAATGAACCCCAAAGCCCTTTCGATGCCAAATATTACCTTCAACAAATGAAGAGACTCGAAAGACTGACATGAGACTAACGCTCAATGGGTTAACAAAGGAGATAAAATACAGATTAATGAAATCACAGAAATGCATTCTTCGCTGACAACATTTCCCCCACCCAACTTAAAAAAAAATAGTTTTACGAATTTCCTCTGGTAGACTCGAAAGAGATTCAGCAAAATTTAGCCAGGGAAGGGGACCGCGATACAATCGGAAGAATTTGGAGATATTCAAAAAGGAAAATCACCAGTAAATTATTTTCACGACATTCGGATGAAGCATGCCGGAACAAAGGCCAGACGCCATGCCTTATTTCGTAACTTTCAAAGTATGATGTTACTAGTCTACCTGAGATATAAATATGGCAATAAAAAAATATGGTCACTTCCGGGTGAGTTGGAAACATACTGCGAGCAATCTGAGAGTTTCTAGGATTTCGGCACGCAGACATTTACGCCGGCAAAAGAAATATTTCAGATTTTAACCAAAAGTTTGTAATTTCATGAAATCTATTATTGTTGGCATCACTGTATTTCTGATGCAATGTGCAATATCGAGTGTCGAGTTTTCTTCCATTACTGGTTCTTGGGAATGGTCATGAGGAAGGAACTGACCAATGAGGATGCAGGCGACGGCAATTATGAAGCTGGCGAAGTAGCCTCGGACAGGGTCGTTGTTGGCTCCGTAGCCAACTGCGAAGAACCCGATGCCAGGATACAACTTGTCCTTAGCCAAAGCCTAGAAGAGTAATTCATACGTATAAGCGAAAATGTTGGCATGGAAATTCAAATCGCAGTGTCAGGCATGGGTAACTACTGCAAAAGGTGCTGCAACTATCCATTCCCGACCTCACATGAAGACATCAAAGGAGACCTCTTTGTCTTTCTTGCGACTCACCATGTCATCTACCTCTCAGGAAATTCATGACATACGAACTTTATTGACTGGTAATAAATCTAACCATGCTTTAGATTTGAGAGAAGTCAGAAACGAGAATAACGCTTCGGCCAATGCCATTTCTATGCACACATTTCCTTCAACGAAACGGAAATATACGCTACGAGGGGTGATCCGAAAGTTTCTGCCCTGAAATATAAGGGTATGTGATAAATTGACAAAAAAAATATATATTTCAGTATTACCTCTCTGGACATGAATTCAAGTCCGATTGTTGGAACAGTGCCTCAGATTTATTGGAAATTTTCCTTTTCCACCGTTAGCTAAAAATGCTGAATTGACTTCACCGAAGATGCACCATGGTCAGTTTCACCTTCATGGCCGCTTCACAGAAAGTTTTCCTTGAAATTTTTATTATTTTTTTGCAGGAAGGGGTTGAAGAAAGGCAATAGGCGCTACCAAAGCCTCTTGCTATTTTTAGAGATTCATATGCAAAGAAAAATGTGTGGACTAAGGCCAGGGATTAATTAACATTAAACGACGCACTGTGAATTTTTACCTGGTGATTTCATGCTGAAGGAGCAGACTCACCTGGAACACACGAGGACCGCCAGCGAGACTGGCAATTGCTGAAGAGAGCGTGGCGGCGAAGCATCCGCCATAGATCAAAGGAAACCACGCTGAAGCCGCAGTTATCATCTGTAACAACGATGTCCACAATGTGACCCTCTGAAGCGACCAAAGAGTCAGGATACAAGTAGTGGGGGAACCTGGTCGTTGTTTTGGAGTCCCCATTTGCAAGATCGATCTGTGCAGTTGAATGCAACCGATTCCAAGATATTCGTGAGATTCTTGTCCAACTCGGAGACTTCTCCTGATGCTTCCCTCACCTCACAACCAGCCAGCATCAACGCATACCCGATGTACGAGATGTATGTCAGAACCACCGCTGCCAATGTCCCCTTGGGGATCGCCGATGATGGATCCTAATGAGTTCCAGGATGTAACAACATGAACAATCTCAAATGGACTCCTTTCCTGAAAGTCATTCAAAACTCTTTCTCATTACGAATTATTTAAGGTTTCAATTCCTCATATTGTGATTTTTCGGTCTCGTCATTGGAAGCTGTGAACAAAATTTGTAAAAATTAATTTTCTTGATTTCAAATCAATATTTATAACAGTCACGTTTTCTTCGGTGCAATTAAAATGTGTTTATAGCTCACCTTAAGATCGCCAGAGAAGTTGGCACCGGCAACAATTCCCGTGACAGCAGGGAAGAAAATCCCAAAGACGCTGAAGAAATCCTGGTCCTTTGCCTCGATCCCTGAGGGCCCATATGCAGACTGGATGTTTCGATAGAAGACTTCCTCTGCCAAGATCAAAACACGGTTCATCATTCTCCTTCTCCTGTTCAACCGATGTCCCCTGGCTCCATAGCAGGGCAATGCTCACTTCGATATCCGACGAATCCACGAGCGAGGTTCTTGTCGTCAGTCGGGCCGATGAAAGTCCCGATGACGAAGTCCAGCTGTGCGGCCAGCAGGATGACCAGGAGCACCACCTCGGTCTGTCTTGCGATTGAACTTTGATTAGACGCATAATCTATAGCTCGTTAAAAACGTTAGTCATGTCCATAATAAGAACTCTCTTTCATCCCGACATAGAGGAATAAATGGGATCCTCCTGGGAAGAAAAACAGGCATTCTGAAATAACCATGCTTTTTTCAGGTAAAGACAATCACACGCTTCGTATGTCCTGCTGTTTTCGACCTTCTTTCCACAATCCTTTTGCAACTTTCAGAAACAAGCGTTTCAAATGGTTTTCGGCTCCCTTCCACGCGTAGATTATTATTACGGGGATCGATATGAGTCGGTGTCTTGCCCAACCTAGAACCTTTTCCTATCATATTTGCGCAACAGTTATTCGTCAGTGTGATCGCGTGAGCGTCCTAGATCATAGCATAGCTGCCCAGCCTGTGTCACACCATGCAATTTGTATCAAACCGACGTTCTAGCGCAAAGTTAGTGTCAGTGGAGGTAATTATTCAATTTCACCCAGCTTCGTTGGAAGTCCTGTTCAAGCATGCTTGTAAAAATGTGTCCTATTTGGACTCCTAGAGGAATACCTCTTCCTAGCATCAATGATCCTTGAAAAAATACCATGTCAGCGTCAGAATTCGACTCTCAGACCGGAATCCGGACCTCCCTTAATTCCCACACTCATTGTAAGAGGCGGATGCAAAGGAATAATCAGTGCAATCCTTGTAGTGTTCTCAATTTATTTAAAATAAAAGTTTTATTGTTGTCTGGGGTCCCTTAAGACCCGGTCTCTTCGTCATTGAGAATAAGTTGATATTTTGCTGCGGCACTTTGCTCATTCCAGATTAGAATCATGCATTGCACAGAAATGCCAAGTAAGATGAATGGAAATGTGCCGTTGCATACCTATGGTACCGGCGATCTTGAGGGAATTCTCTTTTACGAAATGGAATTCTGCTGGCACCATGGGAGGGTTTTGATTTTCAAAATTTCGGGAAGGAGAAAGCCGCGTCTTTCTCGTTGAGCCTGTGGGGTAAATTGATGTGTTTTCTTGCGGTCATCACTTTCTAAACTTGCTTTGTACTTTCATTTCACGCTTCCGGATGATCCCTGCTGTGACATGATGCCCATTGACCTTGGCGAAAGTCCTTCCTGTGTGTTCTTCGTGGGCTGCAAGGTTCTCATCTTCAAAAGCAATTTCTTAAGGTAGGCTTCTTCCATCCTCATGTGTATCCTCATCCTCGGAAATATTCAATGAACTCCATTGAATATTTCTATACTTTCATGATTTTCATCTGGAACGAACCAAATGCCACAGCAATGCGCTGAGCTTGGACATGGATTTTGTGGGACTTGAAACGCTGTTAAAAGAAGCCTGAAGTGAAAAAAAGAAACTGAACTCACTTCGTGCATTGATAGCTCACAACCGTCATGTACTGAGCAGAGTGAAATTAGAGTTCGACTATAAAGACTGGACGGAAAGAAACTTTAGTTTTGAGAGTGAAATAAAATAGTGGAGTAAAAGAATGAATGTAAAACTGTCTTTTCAAGACGGATGAGCGTGAGACTCATTCCTTCAAAATTATTTTAGTCATGCGTAACTCAAAAGAGATATTACAAGAGTCGCGACCTGTCTCTAGAAGCACGAATACATTTTTATTTCTTACAAGAAATCTCTCGCGGACAGAGAGCCACGGTTGCCAATGAAAAATCGTGGGAGAGAGAGAGTATGAACTTGTAGAGCTATTCTGAAAGTTTGAAGGCTATGTTCATAATTATTTGCCCAAGTATCATATACGGCTTCAAACAGGAGTCGGAACTTTTCACAATGCTCACTTCCAGATAACTCCGAGTGGCCTTCCATGCCCATTGACAAGTCATCCCTTTGCCAGCTTGAAGGGGCACATGCACGTCACATTACAAGCCGTGGGGAGCTGGTGTAGCAAGTGCTATAGTGCAATTCATAAGGTGCAGTTTGGATCAATCATTCTTATAGTCTGATCTATTTAATCTTAGCACGAGGATACAAGGTACTTCCAGGAGTTGAAAGGTTTTCTGGAATCCAGTCTTAATCATAAGAATGTAACTTGAAGAAGTAGAACGGACAGAGGAGAGCTAGGGATCACGTCGTCTTGAAATAATGGCGATTGGAGAGGAATTGCAAAATTGCAAAAAAAAAGTCCAACTGCAATTGGCTGTTGAGTCTGAAATGTGGGTTCGGATCGAGCTCGCCTGATAAATTCGGCGAAAACGGTAAACCAGCAGATTGTGAAAGTAACACTACCTATTTCCATATTTAGGACATCGACACTGGTCAGCCAATGGTCTATTGTCGTGGTTAGTGAATGTTCCGGTTCTACACGATATATTCATGAGATTTGACGTGTTTTGTGTTTCTTTGACATCAGGCAGCCCAGATCATAACATTCTTGCAACGACATAGTCTCCTTGTCATGCCTGAACAAACTTGGCCACGGTGTTCTCTTATTCCCGGTCGGGTCGAAAGTAGAATTAGTCCATATTCTCTTTGAAGAGGAATAGAGTTGAGAGAGGACTGACCCGAGAGACCCAGTCGATTCCAACGATGACAATAGCGAGGATGACGACGATAGCAGCGCAGCCAACCACTCTAGTGTAGTTGTCTTCTCCATCGATCAGGCTGGTGGAGAATTCGTTGGCTAGCAGAGCCTTCAGAGAGTCGCAGAACCCGATGACATACATGGCGCATGCGATGCTGTTGGCGATAGTGAACATGAGTCCGATGGCCCCGCCGAACTCGGGTCCCAAAGATCTCGAGATCATGTAGTAGATCCCACCTATGTATAAAGCACACACGGAGTTTTGCAAGATGTCTCAACCGAGATTCTAATGTTTTATAGCGAATGAGGAATATATGAAGAATGGATATGGAACCTCCTTTGATCTGTCCGTTGGTGGTGACTGCAGACATGGAAATGCTGGTGAGGAGGGTGACAATGTTACAGGAGGAGATGAGGAGGATACCCTGGCCGATCCCTGTTTGCCCCATCACCCATGACAGACGCAGAAACAGCATGACTCCCCAGATATTAAGGAGGCATTTCATCTACAGAATTCATTGGGAAGGAAACCGTGAAATCTCTTCCCAGTCTGAAAACATTCTCGCCCAAGCAATCGCCCAAAACTCACGAAGACTCCTTTCACCCAGCCCATCTTGATGACGCCCTTGTTGAGACCTTCCTCAAGTCTCTTCTCCGTGACGTTCTGAGTACCAAGTAACCAAAATTAAATTGAATGTTTATTCTCTAGGACTCAGATTTATATTCTTTCAATTATCAGCCTAGTGAAAGTAGAATACATTGAGGAGAGGGAAAGAACTGGAACAATTACATCATTGCCAAAGGCACGTTTTTGGGCATGTTACTCCATCCCTCATACTGGCAATACTGGGTGGGACTGGAGCCCGAGCGCTAAGCCTAAATCTACGACATTTTCAAGAAGTTATGGCAGTTCCTGTCTAAGCTGTCCACGTGAAGCCCAACAAATCGCATTGTGTGCATGAAAGCTGGTATATTTTATTCCAAAAGAGCGCTTAGCTTCAGCTACTGTCGCTGGTGGTGATAGTGGACCCAAAATCAACATGGTGAGTGTGGCCTCTGTGCATCACTAGCAGCTATCTAATCCGTCTTTGTAAGCAAAAGGTGTTAATGCAGCGGATGATGGTAAACCAACGTTAGCTCAGTACTAAATGATTGAAGGGTTCCGAAATGGGCGAACGAATGTTGCTGCGCTTGGACCTCAACGACACTTTCAGACAAACAGAGGGCATATTCACCGTGTTGATCTGGAGTCCACGAGCGCCACCAGCGACTTTCACTCGAACTAAAGCGCGCATTCGGAGCAGAATCCATCAGTCTATTAGTACGTCCTCCGGTTTGCTATGCGTACACTCACGTGGACGCTTAGACAGAAATTCCCGTTACTTTCGAAACCCCCTCGTAAAATAGTAAGAAAAATATTACTTCCGAAGTAGAACAGTCTAGCGTGTTCATGAATAGGCTCAAGTGAAATTTTTTGCAAATCTTTCTTTTTCTCTCTACACAGGATCGAAAATTTTTTGACGAAACTGTTGTCATCTGTTGGAAACGAGATCGCTTCAACCGGGAGAGCGATTCTCGGTGAATAATTACGAGAAAAAGGTCCCTAATATTAGATAGAAAATGCACGCCGGGACGCGCGTCTGCTGTTCTCATTCCGCGAGGTATTTTCCTTCCCTTTGGCGCTACCCCACTGTTGGATGGAGTCCTTACGAAGCAATGGCAGCATTCTGGTTTCCCATTTCGCTCGGTTCATCTTTCGATTTTCGTTCTTTTTTTCAAAGCGGAAATGTAAATCAACATTTACTTCGGGTGATAGGTTGAAGTCAGGATTCATTTACATGACATAAGCATGCTTGATATTTTGCCTCCTTTCCCGCCGATTTCATCGTTACTCGAGTCCTCAATAGTTGAGGTTTTTTGGTGCTGTTGATACTCGCAGCGAAGCCGAAAAGTCGAGGAATTCCAAACAAATGCTGTTCATCGAAGTTGGCACGAGGAAATGAAGAAAATGTCGGTATTGGGAGTTCCTACGTTCAATCCCATCGAGCTTTCATGACAAGAAAAAGTAATTAAGTTGTGCAATACGGTGAAGGATCCGGTGAAGTTGGTGACCGTCGCGCCTGAAGATATATTTTCCTATCGTGAAAGGTACCATTAAACAGTGCCTCTGCGGGAGTCGCAGTCCGCTAAGGTGCGCCACAGAGATAGTCTGCTACCTGTCAAGTGCAGCAGCGGCAGAATGCAGTCCATCAGACGCATCGCCGAAAGGATGTCCATCTGAAGTTAGACCTCCATACCTTGGGGTTTTCAATGACGGAGATCGAATGGAGAGCGTCCAATGTAGGTCTGCCGTATCCATTTTCCTTCGTGCTCCAGTAATGATGCTCCCTGGGGATGGCTTCGGCCGTCAGCTCATATCGGGATTTGAAGTGCTGGACGTCCAGCGATGTCGTGCCTGTAACAGCAAACACGAACCCCTGGATCATTAATTCGGTGTTCTTCCTTTTTATGTCAGCCAGTTGGTAAAGTGTGACAAACATTACAGGTCGCATGAATGACAGGTGATTCGCCGAAACCGTCGGGAATTCTCGTGGGATCCATGCGAACAAAAGCTCAGTTTTTTTTTTCATTCTCATTTGATTTAGCATCGATGGCGAAAGAAGTGCTATTGCCATAGCACATCTCATCGCAAGTGCCATAGCACATCTCATTCAAATTCGCTCACCTTTCTTGGACCAACCACGTAAACTCCAGCAGCAATCAAGTTCGTGGTCAAATGCGTCCATGAAAGGCGTCAATAAGTAAAGACTGACTCATTTGAGCCAATTGCAATTTTTGGCGATAGCAGTTACTGCTGAACACTTTTGAATCATTTAAAGCTTCCTCCTGTTAAGCTGTAACGATAAGTTAAGTTGCAACAATGAGAAAGAAAAGTGGAAGAGCTCTCGGCAAAAGAAAGCGCACGTTCCCGTGGAAAACAGCAAAGTCTCTTCAGTGTTCATCTGCGACGGATCTGAATCCTGTTTCCAACGATATGGCGTACCACACTCCTCAATTAAAGTTTCGGATCGAAATACTGTACCGGGTATTTATTACTCTAAGTGGGTATTACTCTAAGTTGGCAGAATTCAGGCAGAAACTATTTATCCACATTTACGGTGCGAGTACCTTTTCCAATCATTTAATTTCAATGAGGCACATTTATCTTCAAAAATTCCCTCTGAAGTAATTCGTTGGTATGGCAAGACACACCATCCTCGGGGTACGGCGATGAAAGCACTCCGAAAAGCGCTCTCGATAATTCCAGTATTTCCCATCCAAGTACCACCAATATCCCCGTTTCTCCTCCTTCCGACATACTTCCGTACGACTAGTACTTTTTGCTCTAGTTTCCCTAAAAGCGACCAAATTCTAAAGTTCGTCATCTAAAGGGAATCTGGAGGAAATTGCTTCTCTCTTTTTTCGAAAAAGTTCGAACCGCTTCAAGATCGCTATATTCTATTTGAATTGCCATGAGGTTTGCATGGGCTTTTATACTGGAAAAGGGGTGACGCACGCTTACGCCCTTTTTCAGAGAAACCCTAGATTCCAAGACGAACGAGGAACTTACTTTTGGAGCGGTCGCGAACGTGATTGCGGGGAAAGGATAATTCGTCGTATCCGGATTGCCCCGACCCTTCCGTCGCGTGGCTTACTCCCGGAAGGATTGGATGGACCTGGAGACTGAAGATTCCGCCTTCTCTGTCCATCTTTTCTCCGTAGCCGCCTGGAACTGCTTCTCTGCGAGAACGTCATCCACCTCGATATCAGGTATTCGGCTCGGTGGAGAATACGAAGGACGGAACACGACAAATCCGCGCCAAAGACCTTTTCGTAACTCACGCATACCGTACGATTAATGGGCGAACGCGTGGGTGATACGGACATAGGCATCTGCATCTACGTCTGACGGATCTCTCGGGGTTCAGACGCTTCGGATCACATTAACTGAGAAGGCCAAGCAGAATGGAACAAGATAGATGCGACAACTCGTGTTCGGTGGTTCTTTCGGAAGCATGGCTGCTTCGTATGCTGAACAGACTCCGTTCGTCCCAAGTGTTACAGCTGCTTCGCCCGTGTTGGTTCGGCTCAATTGTATTTGGAAGGGTTTCTCTTTGCGTTCCTGATAAGTGTCTGGGTCAGGGAGATGAAATGCGACTCAAGAACCTTCGTTCTGGAGTCATTATTTAATGTGTAATAGGGCATCGATAAGTGACAAAGCTTTTCAGATGGCCTTTATTTATTCCTAATTGTCGCTATTGTCGCGCCTTCGGCGCACCATTCCCAGGATAAGGATTCATTCAATAATTTATTTTCAAAATTGCCAAAAACTTATTAAAAGTACGTGCCCAACGGAATGTGTATCGAGAGGGAACAAATTAACATATTTTTATTATTGTTTCTCGTGTGCCTAACTTCAAATCTTTTTCATAATCTAACCTTAGGGGTCATAATTGAAAGGTAGAACATGTACTAAGCACATGTACTAAGTGCTCTCTTTGCTGGCGCAAAAACATCTATGGAAAAGCCAACACAGGCAAAAGCTGTGCCCTGGGGGTATGCACCAGGAAACTTGAATATTTTCTGAACTTATCTTCCCCTCAATTATTGCTATACCAAGTTTCACATTTTTATATATCTGTACAATTCTGTGGAAAAATTTTTTTTTCGAAAACGTCACCACCCAAAATTATGCCCCCAGGGCATGTATCCAAAACTTGAAATTTTTTCTGAACTTTGTGTCTCAGTACGCACGTCCATGTCAAGTTTCAGTTTTCCATGTCTCCATTTCACTGAAGCAAATATATATAATAGACAACATATCCCCCTATAATGGGTGCCTCCAGGGCATCTACCTGCAAAGTCGTATTTTTTCTGAACTCTGCATCCCACAAGGTATATGTGTACAAGGTTTCAGATTTCTAACTTCTCTAGAACATGGTTAGAATTAGCGTCAGTCAGTTAGTCACGACCGTCTGTATATATTAGACTGGCTTGCTTGCCAGTCTAATATATACTCAGCTATCAATCAGGTACTTCTTTGCCAAGTTTAGACTTTCATGCGCCCTCCGTTTTTCTGGATCAGAAAATTCGAGAAAATACGCTGTTTGCAAAATATGTGCCCTCAGGCGTTTTAACCGAAAACCGTTTTTACCGAAATCAAACCTCAGTGAACTACATGGCCAAAAAGTTTCAATCGTATACGTTTGCCCTTTTCGCTGGTGAAAAATCATGTTTGGAAAATCCGACCCACCCAATAGATATACCCGGAGGGGATGTACCATGAAACTGAATACTCCCTTAGCTCAATAATATCATGTCACTTATACGGGTGCCAAGTTTGACCTTTCCATTTCTGTCCGATTCGCCACGAACAAATTTTTTTTTTCAATTTTCCACGTCGAGAAATTTCCCCAGGGGATGTATCGAGACTTAACTTTTTTTTAAAGTCCTTGTCTCGGTAGTCACATTCATCCAAAGTTCTAGCTTTCCGTGTTCATCAGTTTAGCTAATGCAAAAAAGTATATGAAAACATCGTATTTCTCTATGAAAGGAACGAGATTCTATGAGCACTAAACCAAATATACTTATTTTGGAATTTTTTTCGCAGATACACTACTTTGCCTTTCACCCCTTTCATTGAAGCACACATTGGAAAACAGCCTCCACCTGTGCCAACATCTTCCTCGAACACGGGTTAGATGTTACGCGAAGTCTCATTGGAGGATGCGAACTGTAACAAGATTGGCCGACGGCAATGGGGACCGCATGATAAAAGCCCCCATGGTTTTATGTTTGCTTGTTGGCCAGGAAGAATTTAGAACCATGCGGAACCGAATGTTTGGGTTGCCAGGGCAAATGGAACCTGCAGTAATCGTTAATTCTAACTTTTCTGGGGGGGGGGGGGGGGAATTCGCACAAAATCTGTACGTCTCGCGCGTCTGCTCTCCATGCGAGTGACTTGGAGGCCATTTCTCATTTTTCATGGGAATGTCAGATAGAACCTTATTGAACTGAGGAGACAAAATGGAAAAAAAAATTATATCGGGGCCTATTGGAGCCGGAACGGTTGTTACAGGGATGAAGATCGCCGGTTCCCAGCTCGTTCCAATGTGAAGAATCGACTGAATTCTATCAAAATAAAAAAAATAACGGCCTGATCAGCGAGAGATCCGTTGAACCTCGCGAT